CATCGATAACCCTGTGAACAAACAATGACAATAATAGGCATCTTTAAACCAATGGAAGTAAAATAACAACTTTTGGATACCAATTTAACAGCCCTCATAAAATTATGGTAATTGACATTAGATCAGATAAATCATGTTTTTTCTTCTTCTTGTAAATGTATTATTAGATATAAAAGACTCTTTTCGTTATATTCTAATTGAATAACCCCCTTCCCGTTGTTATTTGATAACATCAATAGGCTTGGTAATTATATTATACTAGTAATTTCGTATTTCTTGTATATCCATAAAATCTTAACATATGCAAAATACCTTGAAGGAATAGTTTAGTCTACATGGAATTTATACAATTGGACATCCTTCACAAATGACTTTTTTGTATTTTTCTACTTTTCTATTTTATTACCATAATACATTTTGTGCATTTTTACTTCAGGAAAAGGAAAAACACTCTAGTAAGAGAAAAAGAGAACTGTTCGCTCAGCTTAGGAAAACTAGGACAATGTGATGATAGCAATAACACAGAAACAGACGAAGACAGCTCTTCACGAAAGAAAGCAACTTTTGGTAATCACAATGCAATGAAGGAAAAACGAGCTATTGAGATTGATTGGGTACATGAAGGGCATCAGGTTCGAGTCAAAACAGGAGGTGGAACTCCAAATCAAATCGTAGCCGCCTCCTATAAAGGACTCATCAATTGAGTTTAAGTTTTAGTACAATAATTTTAACTGTGTTCTTAATTTTGTACCGTATGTAAAATTTAACTCAAAATTCATAGCAGGAAATTAATTACTTTTATATGATAATGATATTTAAAATATAAAGGCATTCGAAATTAGAAATTATGACTTTTGAACAATTTTTTAAAATCATTATTTACAACTCTCTGTAAATTAATTCGTGCAAAGTCCTGTATAAACGCATAGCTTCATGTGGTGTAGATGGGAGACGGAGATCATTTTCTTCCATTAAGAGGCAGCATATCTCAAAGACGGTTGAATCACTGCATGACTGATCTTTGAAAACACAATTATCGCTACAAACTTCAACTTCGAGCGTATCTACTGGAACTAGTTTGTCCTCAGTATTGTACAACTCCGGAGATGTGTACATGATGATGGGTTTTCCAGCCGGTTCTATCATGTTATGATGATGCTGAATTCGATGACAGTCCCATATCTGTGTAACCTCGTCTAGTTCATCCTAAAACAAAAATAAGGCAAAAAATGTCAAACATTTTCCGCCTATAAATTAATTATAAG